CGTGTGTATTTCATACCCCCCTTCCCCCACACACACACACACACACACACACACACACACACACACACACACACACACACACACACACACACTTTCCCATTGCCCGGAAATTTTCATTCCGGACTTCCTTACCGGGCCACCTTTCTCTCCTGCGGGGCCTGGGGGTCCTTGGGGCCCGGGGCGTCCGGGCAGACCGGTGGGACCGGCGGGGCCCGCGGGACCGCGTTCGCCGGGAGATCCCTGTTGCACAAAGGATCCAGCCACATATAACGTCGAGGTTTTGTTCAAGGACGGGCGCCGGATGCCGAGGTACTTACAGCTGGGCCGGGTGGGCCGTGAGGACCCTCGTTGCCTTTCAGACCGTGAGCCCCCTGCAAAGGCAAGCGGAGGTTTCACGACACGGCGCGGATCTTTCGCTTTTGTTTTCAAAACGTTGATTTCCGGCTCCGTATCAAAGTAGGAGCGGATTTACATAACCGGTGGGACTTTGCGTGCGGTGTTCCGAACAAACAGAGCGGGATCATATTGTCGGCCTTCTCGAGCCCACGCAAGGTCTCGCCAAGCTTCTGATAGCCCACGAGCGTTATGCAACGAACACGCAGAAAAAAAGAGGATACTGACCACGGGGCCGGGCAGTCCGCGCTCTCCGGGGAAGCCTCGCGGGCCAGGTGGGCCGTCCTTACCGGCGGGGCCAGAGGGTCCCGGGTCACCCTGCGGGGGGGAGGGATGACACATTGTACGTCACAGCAACACCGTGTCATTTTTTTTTCCCATGATTATTTTGGGCTCACCTTAGCGCCTTCTTTCCCGGCAGCTCCGGGAAGACCCTGCTCACCGGGTGGGCCCGGGGGTCCCGGGTGGCCACGATCTCCCATCGGTCCGGTCTCGCCCGTTGGTCCCTGCAAAGTCACAAAGAATAGTTGACTCCTTTGTTCAGTTTCCCGACAACTCGTAGCGTCAAAATATGACTTCGATATGTCTGTCGGGTTTTATCATGGCGCCGGGACAGATTTTTTTTTTCCCATTTCTCTTTCATCATTTGGGAATGTTTTGTTTCGTTTTTTTCCCCACTCCCCCAAATTCCCACAAATGGTGTTGATTTCAAGGTTCCGTTGGGTAAGAGCAAGCACTCACCTGAGGTCCGACCACGCCCGGGGGCCCGGGAGGGCCGGTCTTTCCTTGGAATCCCTGCGTGATGAAGAAAAGCAGTTGACATGGGACTTGTCTGATGACGTGACAAATGATTTGCTTTTTAGGCGACCACTCACAGTCTCTCCTCTCTGTCCAGGGTGTCCGGGAAGTCCGTCTTTCCCGGCGGGCCCCTGAGAAACCACACAAAGCCACTTGTTACACCGCAGTAAATGGATGGATTTTTTTTCTTTTCTTTTAGACATCAACCCCCCCCAAAAAAAACATTTCACTTGGTGGTGAAGGGTCATGATGTGCATTCTGACTTTGGAAGGAATTTGACTCAATCTGAAAACAAAGTTGTAGCCTAACATGTTGAAAGAGCGAATGGGGTGAATCATTGAGTCAAAGTTGAATTCAAAAGAAAAAAAAATGGTGGCACATTATATAGAACATTCTAAGGACATTTTAAAAAGTCTATCCAATACCGCTGTAACTTTAGAAAAAAAAATGACTGAGGGAGAGGCGGGGGGCACTTACAGGTGGGCCCTTTGGTCCGGGGAATCCCGTTGGCCCCTGAGGTCCGGGCAGACCCTGAAACACAAACAAGGACACTTACGAATAAAGCGATCGGAATGATTTCTTGAAGATCTTCGGAAGTCACCTACCCTCTCGCCGAGAGGTCCCGGTGGTCCGTCGGTCCCCGAGTTGCCCTGCGGGGAAAAAAGGAACGCACGAGTACGATTCCAATGAGTATTGTCAAAGAGCGCATCGAGTTGCCATTGAAAGTCAAGGTTTTGCGCACTTTTGGTCCAGCTTTTCCCGTGGGTCCTCTCGGGCCTCTCTCGCCTCGAGGGCCCTGCGGAAAACGAGGAAGGGTTACATATCGCGGCAAGAGCCTCGGGTCCCCACCGGGATTCATTTTCGCGATGGGCGCTGCCAAGTCGGCCATCTGTTCGTGTCACGACTCTGCTGACTGAGACGCTCACCGTCGGTCCTCGCTGGCCCCGCGGTCCCGGCTTTCCCGCCGTTCCCTGCGGAAATTTAAAAAAAAAAAGGAAGTGAGGGAAAATCTCTGTCTCATTGTATGTTTTGTCATGTTTGCTACACGAGAGCCACACTGTGCGATCATGCTACACTCTAGTTTGACGTTATGCCATAAGAGTCATAGATACCCGAGTTCCTTTCTCTCCGTTTGCGCCAGGGAAGCCTTGGAAACCTTGAGATCCCTATGAGGAAAAAAAACAATAGTGTATTTATCCTCACCCCCCCAAAAAAGGAAACTTTTTTTCTTCTTCCTCCACAGCGATTTTAAATGCACAAGTAAAGGCAAATTCAACCAATCGGAAATGGGAGGAAAATCGCTCCCAGGAAAGGCACCATACTTTTTTTTTTTTTTTTTTAAATCATTCATGTAACTCGTAGCCAAAGTTAGCAGACTGGCCTTCAAAGTGGACTTTTGAACTCATTTGGGGCAAAAGCGAGTGGACGAATGTCCCCCAAGTGTTACCTTGGGTCCTTGTCTTCCCGGGTATCCGGGCAAGCCGGGCACTCCGAGTTTACCCTGTGAGACGAGACCGTACACACGTAAGCGATGTTGTCGGCGGCGGCGTTGGCCTCACGAGCGAGCTGCGCGGCGGCGACCGCTTCTTGCCTTCTCGCCAGATGGGCCGAGAGGACCAGAGTCTCCGGTGAGACCCGAGCGACCCTTGGGCCCCTCGGGACCGTCTTCTCCCCTGGGTCCCGCTGGTCCGAGCTCGCCCTGAGTGGACAGCGCCAGGGCAAGCGTTAGCATCGATGCTCGCGGGAAAACACTGTCCAAAATTCAAAAGCAAAAGGCGCTGGATTGCGGGCTTTCGAGCGCCACCCGTCTCTTTTGGAGTCAGGTCGAGTGGATGCTTTGGCGTTCGGGGCCGCCTTGCGGGAGGTAGTTCGGGCTTACGGTTCGACGTGACGCGCTCCGACTCGAGGTTTAAAATTCTGCCAGTCAACTTAAAGGCTCTGACTCGTGGAAAAAGGCTCAGACGCGTTGGACTCAAGATGGAGAAAAAAAAAAAAAAAAACACGAGTGATGGTTTAAGACTCGGACTCAAGTCAAAAATGACAAAAGATTCTCAAAAGGCTAAAAGGTCAAGGTTACGCCACCAGGTTCAAAGTTATGATTCATGGCTGATAAAGAATGCCAAGGCTACGACTCCAAGAAAAAGCCTTGGCCTCAACGTCTGGCGCTCAAGGTCGGAGGCGACCGCTTCCCATAATGGGCAACGATTCAGGGTTGAAGGCTACAAGTCAAGTCAAAGGCGAGGACTGAATTGGGAAAAAAAAAAAAAATTGTTTTAAATGCTCCGACTCCACGAAAAAGGCTTGACGTCCGTCATAGGCGACAACAACAGAAAGAGTCAAAAGTTGGAACGGCGGGCGAAAAACCGAGCGGCGGTTGTTGAGTGCTCGGACTCCGGGTTGCCGTGCGACGACCGAAGCGAGCGATGGTTCCACGTTGCAACTGCGGCGCGAGCGATTGGACCGCCGCTACTTTTGGCCCGGGAAGGAGCAAAGAAGCTCAACACTCACCCTGTCGCCCTTGACGCCCATATCTCCCTTGAAGCCCGGGAAGCCGTCTTCGCCCTGGCAACGAGAGCGAGGCTCAATGTCAATGGGAATCCTCGCCACGGCGGCCGGGGGCCACCGCCGATGCCCCTCCCCGACGTCGCCGCGCCTTACCTTCTCTCCTTTGGTCCCCTTCAGGCCGCGGACGCCGTCTGCGCCCTGAGACACGACATTGGTACACAGGTAAGCCGCCGAGCTCAAAGGTGGACATGCAAACCGTCGCGAGCCGACAACTTTGTTCTATGACGACCACTCGCTGGCTTTTGATCAACGTCACTAAGAATCTTCCCCCGGTCAACCTGCTGCGGATCGGCATCTCACCTTCACGCCTCGCGGGCCCGGATAACCGATGGGTCCTTGAGGGCCGGCGGGTCCCTGGAGACGACGGGAAAGGTTCATACTTGGAACACACACACACACACACACACACACACAAAATGGTGTTGCCGCGATGAGTTACCAAGTGACCCTTCTCTCCGTGAGGTCCTTCTTTTCCAGGGTGACCCTAAGAATCAGAAGCATCAAATACCTCATCCGCATGTCATGACAATCAGAAAGACTGCTGATGACAACCAAATAGGACCACTTTTTAGGTTGCAGTAAAAATCAAGGAGCAGTAAACGTGGTGGAGGACAAAACAAAGGGAAAAGTTCACTCATTCCCCGGTGACGACTTTGATCCGAAAGCGCTGCTTTATGCGCTCGCAACTGGGCTTTACACACACATACACGCGTTGCCTATTTCAGTCGAGAGGGTGCCGAGATTGGCCCGAAATGGAGCCGCGATGGGAAGGAAATGGATCCAAGATGAGGTGCAGGCAGGCAGGCACATGGCGGAAAACAAATCAAAGTGTCGGGGTGGGGGTTGGACAATTGAAAGAAGTGCAAAGAGCTATTTGTATACTCAAGGCGAAAGAAGGACAAGGCTTGGGGAGCGATGCAGGCTGAATCTCCAGCCATTCTTTCGTAGTTCGGAAAAGTGGCAACGAGTCGGTGGGGACGTCTCCCAAATGGATGGCGTCGATGTCAAAGCCGGCTCGGACAGACGCGTCGGCCGGCACGGTTGTCGGAGCTTCCGCAAAAGCCGGCGGCATCGAGTTCCGAGGAGGCGACTCTGACAATGACGCCGGGATGAGGACTTGGATGGATTTGTAGAGCGAGGATGGATCAAAAAGTCACATGAGTACATTGTTAAATTCTTGCGTCAAGTCGGTTTTGCTCTCGGCGCCTTTTTAAAACGCCCGGGTCCGTTTTACCGCGAGCACGTCCGGTGAGACGACGCACCTCGTCGACGTGTGTTGAATCCAGAACGGGCACCCGTGACTGACAGCGCGCCTTTCGTGGTCGTGACAATACGGTACATTTGTTTTCATCGTTGAGAAAATAGGAACAAACCTCATTCTTAAAGATTCCGATTTCAACTTAAAACGGGTTCGAAATGTGTGCAGAAAATATTTGCGCACACACACAAAAGCTGGACGTTAGCGTCGCAAACGTGTTTGGGAAGGTGGTAAAAGGGGGACTCACGGGTGGTCCGTCGGCTCCTGGCATTCCTGGCAGGCCGGGCTTACCGGTGGGACCCTGCGAGGACGAGAAAAAAGAAAAGAGAGCATTTGCGCGCCGCCGAGCAAGAAATCCATTCTTTTCATCGTTGAATCATGAAAAAGTGGCTGGGAGCACGATTTCGCTTGTGCCCCAACAGGCACGGTGCGCTCATGACTTAGCATTAGCATTAGCATGCCAAGAGGTCGGATTGCGGAGGTGGCAACAAACGGAGACGCGTCACCTTCTCTCCGGGAGGTCCGATGGCACCTTGAGGCCCAGCTAGTCCCTGCGAAGAGCGAGTGAAAAAAGTAAAAAAACAAATGACGGCTTTTCTCCGAAAGACCGTCAACGAGATTTTACGAGTGTCTGCTCACCTGCGCACCAGGGTTGCCTTGCTGACCCGGAGGTCCCGGTTCTCCTTGAGGTCCCTTTGTGTCGGGAGGGGGAAAAAAAATAAGAAGCAAGCTGTCATTTCCAAGGAAGACTTTGCCGACTCCCATCAAAAGTTGCACAAGTTCAAATAAAACTACTCTCGCAAACGGGAAGACGACTACCAATCCTTCAAGAAAAGGAGGACCCCCCCCCCCCCCACCCCCCTTTCCTCCAGGAGATTCGCCACTTACGATGTTGCCTTTGGGTCCAGGGTGGCCGTCCGCTCCGGCGACACCCTGCGGGACGCCACATGAGACAGGATATTACGGCATCAACCGTCACACTCTGAATGTTATAGCAAGTAGCTTGAACTGGGAAGGGGCGAGCGGCGCTCAGGGGGGAAGACTCACGGGCGGTCCGGGAGGGCCCTGGGGTCCTTTGGGTCCCAGCAAGCCGCGGGGTCCCTGGCGTCAGAGGAGAAGAGCCAGATCAGAAATGCCTTCGCGCATTCAACGCTCTGAAAATTAGAGATGGCAACGTCGCGGCAACGAGTGCTCAGATCGCAAGCTTTCAAACAAGACGAGCGTTGGCATGGTCCTGTTCTCTTTTGTCTCCAGCAGATGGCGGCAGAGGGCTTTCCTTACGACAACACCATCAACGGGCAAAAGTTGCGCAGGCTAAAATTCCACTCTGAAGATGTTTTGGGGAGAAATGAGAAGACTCACGGGTTCCCCAGGAAGTCCCCTTGGTCCGATGTCTCCGTCCTCTCCCTGGAGGCGAGAAAGCCATCGAGGTCACATGGCGAGTAGACGGCAGCTCGAGTTTTTTTTTTTTTTTTTTTACGTGAGCGCAGGTTTTACCCTCTCTCCATCCTCGCCGGGTGCACCGGGCGGCCCTTGGGGTCCCGCTTCACCCTGGAATCAAGCACGCTGGTGTCAGGAAAACGGGAACGGGGTCGAAAGCGATCAGATACTCACTCTGTGTCCTTTTTCGCCAGGAAGTCCGGCCAGACCATCAAAGCCGCGATCTCCCTGGGGAAAAAGAAAACACGGCAAAGAAACCACGTTGCAGCCCTGCGAGGTTTTGGGAATGTCGCATGACAAGCCGAGTCCCAGCGGGGCCCGCCCACCTTAGGTCCAGATTGGCCCGGCATTCCCCTGGCCCCGTCGGCTCCGGCGCGACCCTGCCAAGGTAAAGGTTTTTGTCATGAGGAGGATTTTGGAGCGCGTGCGGGATGTTTGGGCTGGACTTGGCGTCGCGCGTACCCTTCTGCCGGGCTTTCCGGAAGGTCCGGACGATCCCATCGGTCCCCGCGGACCCTGCGAGGAAATTCCCACTTCAGCCACAATCGACACCAATACAATCAACGACATTCAATCTCAAGGCAGTTTGAGACAAATACAAACAGAGAAGGAAAAATAGAAACTCCCGGCGAAGAATACGGAACTCGAAAACCCACATGTAGTGAAAGAAGAAAAGAAGATGACATGATGTAATACGATGAACAATACTCGCGCGCGCACAGTAAAACAATCGCCCAAAAAATACATCAATAAAAAAATGCAATTTACGCTCCTAAATTATGACTTTAAAAATGGGACATCATTTTTATGGCGTATGACATCTCCCAAATTCTCAACATGAAATAAAATAAAAATAAATCCAGAGTAGTGAAAATACGAGAGGGTCATCAAAAATACACAGACTTATAAAATAAGAAAAATAAGAAAAGAAAGCTATGCTATAAAAATATACCCAAAAATACAATAAAAATGAAAAAGGCATTGAAATTAAAATAAACATTCTGTAAAATAGAATAAAAAAAACTACTATTGTAAAAAAAATAAAAGATATAAAACAAAAAATATAAATATATGTACGAAATAAAGAAAGAAGGTATTCAAATAAAAATATGTGAATAGAATAGAATGAAAACATTAGAATGAAAGATTTTTAGTATTTAATTCAGTTGAATATATGTGAAGTAAAAATGTCTTCAAATAATTTTATATAGAAATGGATATAAATGGATACATTTTGATATATTAAAATTATAGTGTATACTGTATAGTAATACATAGATATGTGTGTGTGTGTGTGTGTGTGTGTATACGTATCTACACAGTGTGCACAGGGCACAAAGTCAAAATGTCGTCATTTGGAGTCATAATAAAAGGAATCAAGTCCCCGAAGTGTTTACCTGAGGACCGGCCTCCCCGGACTCTCCCTTCAGTCCCGCAATACCAGGAGGACCCTGAAACGACAACCCAGATAGGCCGCATCAACCTCAGCTCATCTGTCACGTTGACCTCGGGCGATTTCCTTTCTGCTACGCACCAGCGGGCCGGGCCTTCCGGTCAAACCCATGGGGCCGGTGGAACCGCGCATGGCCAGCTGCACACGGGAGAACCAAAAGCATCATTCCAAGAGCAACACGCGCGCGTGCCGTTGAAGACGTGAAGTGGTGTGTGTGTGTGTGCGTGTGTGCGTGTGCGCGCGCGCTAGCTCACCCGAGCCTGTTGCATGATGGCCTGCATCTGGGCTTCCTGAGCCGACATGGCAGGCCCCTTCTGCCCGGCGTCCCCTCCTCCGGCGCTGAATCGGAACTACGAGGAGGAGAGAAGAGATACGTTGAGGCAATATGGCAGCGAAGCCACGAGCAGAACGGCGGCACC